GTAAAGGATTATGTTCGGCAAGTTAGCTCTTTTGAGAAAAAAGTTAGCTATGGACATGTATAACAAAAAATTAAATGTACCAAGTCAATCACTCAGGCTCATCCAGTAAAAATTTGCCTTTTTAGCATTTTTTTTGTGCAATTTTGTGTCTTTTTAGGATTTTCTACCTCCTGACTCCTAAAAGAATATGCTTGCTACCACCGCTCTTCAAAAAGTTTTGAAGGCAGATACGCTTTCACATAAAGCTATCTCTCCAGTGACAAAAATTCCTGCCGGCGCACATGGTCATTGTTATGACTAATTCCAAGTAGATGACGATGTTGACGTTCCACATACACAGCAGTTGAGCAGCGATTGCCGACTGCGACGCATGGCGCACGCCTGTCGGCTGCGCTACGGTGCACGTACCGACACGTAACTGTCGGATTTTTAAGAGGGGTATGGTGAAATATATGATGAGGGGGATATGTCTTGGTGCTTCAAGTTACCGGAGTCGCAGGCATATAAGTATAATAACGTCAACAAATTGAGATATAGTCTCCAAACAACCTACACCTAATCTTAAGTTTTTAACCCCTACAAAAATCTATACAACCTTTGATCTCTTGCTATGATCCAAAATGAGGCGCACTAGTTTTCAGACCTTTTCAAAGTGAATACTACAGTCTGTGCCTTAAAGTGTGAGCTTTAAGTATGTTGAGAGAGATGAGATTACCAGAGTGTTCGTCTATAAACATGAACACTTTTAACCACACTAACGAGATGCTTCCGTTTAGATGTTGAACGAAGAATTCAACGAAGACATTAATTTTGCATTTTCTAAGTGAAAAACGCTAGGCGTTAATTAAAGAGGTCGGAATAGAGTGGTGTTTGCCAACGTCACTGCGCTGACCAGGATGTGCAACCTAACCGTTATGTATATCTTTATTTTGAGATCAAAGGGCGACAGAGGGCACTTTTTTATGGTGAAGGGGAGGTTGGATTTACTAACGTAGGACAGTGGCACGGAAATAAAAATTAATCCTAATTGTGATTGACCTGACACTTCAAAATACAAGCATTGATACAAGTCAATCTTTTTCGCGCCCTCCAGCTTATCTATTGACAAGTCATGCATTGCCGGTCGTGGTTTTTCTTGTTTATCAAGCACTAACGAAAATTCTGTCTGCAACATATGTACTTTCTGATTGTTTAGCTTCGGCTGATAGTAATCCTTCAAAAATGACGGCATTTATGTCACAGATCTTGAAAACCCTCTAGCCAATATCCTCCTAATAATTGAAAATTGACTATTTGGAAAGCTAGGTCGAATTGAACTTCTGAACATCTTATCTCGGTTGGCTCAACAGCTTCATATGATAAGAATACAAAATACCTCAAGGGTAGACAGAAGGTTATTATATCTCATTCAAAGTACATTCATATCTGCATCAGGGTACTTTCGTAGATTACCCAAAAACCAATCATTTGATTTTTTTTTTTCGTGACAGCTCTAAAACTTAGGGTCGACTTAGATGTCACAAATTCGATCAATGAGAATGCGTTTTAGAAGTAATAGGTTTGGTGAATATAAAATGTCTCAGAGAAGAATTACACGATTTGCGTAAGATTCTATTTCTAATATTGAATCAAGGAGCACAACATTTCTGACCCAAATGCAAATTCCACCATTGCAAAAGAAGGTTTTGATTTATAGTCACAAATTCGATTAAACAAAAAGAAAATTTTGGTTCCTACTCGAAGCATGGACCAAATCTAATACCATATATAAATATGACAGCCGTTACTGATCATTATTAAGGATAATCTCACTACTTACCAAAAAGTATATACTTTTAACAATCCATCTATTGAGATAAGCTACGAAAACGAGTTTTTTATCGGTGATTAACAAGTCACTTAAATTTGATCAGTGATGTTTGTCCTTACTGTAAGAATAATAAATTCTTTCAAGACATAAATAAAATTATACAATGATTATGCTTCAACAAGCATTGAGTATATATTTAAATTACTTGACTACCGTGCAAAAAACCCATTTATTTCTAATTACGTTTGTGCTCAACACGTGTTTAGCGCTAATTTTCCTTGCTTAATGCCCAAACGCTTGCGCCATCTACTGGGCCGTAGAACGACTAAAAGACTTCTAAGCGTACCTTGCGACCCTGGCAAGGTACTACTACTACTATCTACTTTCATACATTTTAATACTATGAAATACAATTACACTTAACAGAAATTCCTCAAATCTAGGTAAAAGAAATCTGCTAGATTCATCGCAATGCGCGAATAACTCGTGATTTTTAGAGGACCTTCCAATTACTTCAAATTTTGAAAATCCTTCAATAGATTCGAGAGATTCGTTCAAAACTTTTCAAACCCCGTTTTCCGCCTGTTCCCCTCGCCACTGCCTTTGGACACAAGCGCCATGCCGCGATGTTGGCCTGCCGGATGCATTCTAATTAGAACCGAATCTCGTTTGTGCCTCTCTCCATGAACCGACGGCCTTACACCATTGAAGTCCTGAAGGATGTCGCATCCATATCGCTCCTCCTCCACAGCCACAGTTGCTCTGGTATATCCACCCAACAGCAACAGTACAACATAATTGCTGTAATTGCCGTTTAACGACACTACGCTGCCGTCTTTGCCATAGAACATATAGAAGCATAGAATGGGAGGCTCAAAATTATCGCGCGACGAAGCAACAACTGACTGTGGATATGTCTTGGCCATACCGTAGAACTGACCGTTTCATGGAATGATCGATGAAAGGGTCAACTGAATTTGACAGTATCGTTAAATCGTTAACGTTTAACGATTTCGTGATCAGCGAAATAGGGTGTCCATAGGATATTTAATGAAAATTTAGAATATGTTACAAACCCGTTTATTGTCCTTTAATTATGACAACCATTTTTTATTATACCTAATCACTTTAGGAAATTGAAATAAAATGATTTTATTAAAGCATTTTTAAATTGAACAACGTGTAACAAATAAAAATTTTAAGCATAGATATCAGTATCACAAATTATTTGACGTAATCTGAAAATGCAATGAAAATTACGGTAAGACTATACTTTAGCGCATATCGTAAATACTTAATGCCGTATTTCAAAATGAACGATTATGATGTAACTTTTACGAAAATATCATTTTTTCTTTAAGGAACCCTCTGCTTGCTATTTTATAGAACTTCAAAGTTGCATTTTTGGTGGAAATACTCTAGATTAGAATACTATTTTATACGCTTTTTTTGTTTTTGCACAAAGCCATGATCTAAATTATAAAAATATAACATACACTGCAAGTACTAAGGAAAATAGATGTGAAACTATAAAAAAATGTTGCTTTTTACAAGTAAATGTTCAAAACCAGCCGTGTTGTTACACATTAGCTTATTAGCTACAACAACAGTTCAAAATACATACGTAAATGATGGTATTTACTTAGTAAACTATGTAGAGGTGTTGTATTGTGATTTTTCAATGTCATCTTGAAATTCCTTATCCATTTTTTTCGCGTATTTTCAATAGGATCAAAGTTTTTGCGTTTATATGAAATATTTGAAAGTACAAACAATTCTCAATGGCCATTTTATAACGTTCAATTATTGACATATAAGATAAATGATGTCCATTGTTGCCAAGATCTATTCTTCTTGGGAGAAATACGTAATAAAAAATGATGTTATTTGCAAAATAAAAGCCTTAATTTGTTGGAAATGGCTTGTTTTATGAGAAGTTGCCCCAACTACATAAAATTTTTAATAGTAAGCGTCGAAAAAGTGGAAAATGCATCAACGGCTCGCATGACATAAAAAATATAAAAGGCACCATTGCATGTTAAAATACCCAACTTCGATTTGTCGATTTGGACCACGTCACAAGGTCCACCCAACATATCATCGTCCAACATTATATATACCTAGTTAAATAAAGATCAACGACCATTTCATCAAATCATCAAAAACCTGACAATGTTCTTTATTATGTTTTCATTATTTAGTGATTGTCAACAGCTACTTTTTGAGTTATTTCTCATATACATATATCATATTTAATTAGGTATATTTTGTGACATTAGTTTCACTTTAAATAATTCTTCAAGTACATACATACAAAAAGTAAGTAGATTATAACTATAATACAGGAAAAACAATAACCGAAGTACTTTTGTGAAGGGCGTAAGGCATTCTTCAAAAAAGTGTCTTTAGCTAACGTAGCGCTCGAGGTGGACCTGCCAGCCATACCTCCAAATCGCACTGTCGTGACAATCCTGTGCCGATTGCACATTTTTGCGGTAGTATATAAGTAAGAACCTAACAAACCAAATTAAGGTATATTAATTACTATCCATGATTTGGCAACATCGCAACTAGATGGTGGTGTAGTGATGGGAATATTTATCTGAAATAAAAGAAATGAACTATTTTCATCATTAAAATAATGCAAAATTGCATTATTGCGATGAGCAGTGTCACAGTAATATACAGTGTATGTTATATTCATATAATTTTGACTAGTCTTTTGTGTTATCAAGAAAAAACAGCTCATAGAGCAGTATTCTATACCACAGTATTACTAACCAGAATGCAACTTTGAAGTTCTATAAAATAGCAAGCAGAGGGTTCCTAATAGAAGAAATTATATTTTAGTGCAAGGTGCATCCTAATCTTTCATTTTAAAATAAGAAATAGAATATTTGCGGTATGCGCCGAAGTATAGCTCAGCCAAAATTAGTTTTACATACGTAGAATAATATAGTAGTTCAATAGAAAAACACAATATTTTAACTGGCACGTGATTTTGACTTCCAATAAATGAATACGAGGGACGTCTTTAAAGTTTTGCATATAGAAACATAGTAGGCCGCGCGGATCGAACGTCAGTACTGAATCTTAACCTCACTCTTCAGTAAACTTAAATTCAAAGTTTCACAACAATACAGTGTTCTCACTACAGTGAATTTTTATGTGTCACCAAGTCGTTAGAAAAATGGAACTCAACCGAGAACATTTTTGCGCCATAATTTATTACAATTTTCAGAGTCAATTATCGCAACAAGAATGCCTTGCTGAGCTACTGTCTGTTTCCGGCAACGAAGCGCCACAACAGTCGACAATTTCCCGTTGGTATGGACAATTCAAACGTCTTAGCGACGGTCCCAGGGTGGGTGCACCAAAAACGGCAGTCATCCAGGAAAACGTCGATGCTGTGCGCAAACTCATCATTGAAGATAGACATGTGACATATCGCGAGATTGAGGCGTCCTTGAAGATCTCAAAGACCTCAATTAAAAAAAATTACATGAAGAATTAGGAGTAAGACAATTAGTTTCTCGTTGGATACCCCACCTGTTGACTGAAGAGCAGAAAGCAGCCAGGGTTAATTGGGGTCAAAAAACGCTCGACCGTTTCAATTCCGGAAACTCAAAAAATGTGTACAGCATTGTTAGTGGTGATGAATCGTGGATTTACTGTTATGAACCAGAAAATAAACGACAGTCGGCTGTTTGGGTGTTCCAAGGTGAAGAACACGATGGTCGCGACATTTGTGTCAAAAGCGGGTCATATTGCAACAATTCCTCTTCATGAACAAATAACTGTTACTGTGGATTGGTATACCACCATTTGTTTGCCAAAAGTCATCACCGAGCTTCGAAAAATCAACCCCGAAGGAAGAATCATCTTCGACCAAGACAATGCAAGCCCGCACACAGCCCAGAAAACAAGGCAGTATTTAACGAAAGAAAACGTGGAATTATTGGACAATCTTCCATATAGTCCCGATCTAAGTCCTAACGATTTCTTTACTTTCCCGAAAATTAACAACACACAGCGTGGTCAAAGGTTCCAGTCACCAGAAGAAGCAGTTGACGCATTCAAAAATGCCGTTTTGGATTTGCCAGAAAACGAGTGGAATAAGTGCTTCGAAAATTGGTTCGAGCGCATGCAGATGTGTATTAATATTCGTGGAGAACACTTCGAAAAATAACAAAGTCATTTGAAACTACCTACCGTGTTGTTTTATTTCCATATGCAAAACTTAAAAGACCTCGTAACAATGTAATTTAGGAGTGCAGTATCAACCTGTGAAATACGTTCCGAAGTCGGCTTTTTGATCCCGCATACTACTCGAGAATTCGAGTACCTCTTTGTCGTAATATCTTTTAATCTCACGTTCTTCCTCATTTGGTAACGAGTTATTAGAATTTTCTCTTCTAAAAACAACTTTGTTATTAACGTATTGAAATGTAAGCAAAGGGTTCCCAGTGCCTCTATCGGAATTTACTGTAATTATTTTACGATTTGATCAAACATGCTTGACCATCCCGTCAAGTAGCCACGCGTTCAGTTTACCATATCGTTAAATGATTTGTTATCATTGATTTGGTCAAGCCACATCATGATCTGGCAAATATATAATGATGCATTTCATGAAATGGTGGACCATTTCACGATATGGCCACGACAGACCCATCCCCAAATAATATCGACAATATTTAAGCGGTCGAGTAATTAGAAATAGAACCTTCTTCCCAGTGTGCGGAACCGCGGTAAATATTGTGATTTTGCATAGGTACATAATGTCATACACGGACCAACTTAATATAAAATTTGTTAATACCTCACGCATTCCTTGTTCTTTTCCGTCTCCACAAAGAGTCATCTTTATTAGAAAATCCTTTTGCATAGGTATACTAGCAGCAGTTGAAAATGGCAACCAATAGGCATTTTCGCGAACCTTATTTTTTAATCTACTTCCAAAATAAAAAAGATTCTATCCTTAAAAAAATTGTGCCAAGTAGATTGACTCTATTCTTCCCGCGCCTTATTTTGGAATCTTTGAATAATTTCGATGTTGAACTCTTGGAACAGCCCCATAGTTGGCGACCTGGTTTCTAGATCTGATTATAGATCATGATTTTGTTATTTAGCGATAGCATTGAGTATCTTCCCGGTAACCAATAATGGTGCTTGTAGTGGGCGTTCAGTTCTTATCTCATTTTTTGATATCGCTTATTTGAGGAAGATGTGGGTCGATGTTAATTCATTCAATTCGATTTGCTATTGGTAGCAGTTTCTGCTTTACCAACAGAACTTAATAGATCTTTTCAAATGCAACCTATGATGTATCATCTGCAAATGCTGCGACTGGTGTATCTGACATAGCAGGGATATCTGATATATACAGAAGTAAGAGTGCTAGTCCTAGAACACTCCCGTGAGGTACTCCAGCATTGATATTCAGAAGATCAGAATACTCATCTTCTTGCTTAACTCTGAAGGTCCTATTTGATATATATATATATATATATATATATATATATATATATATATATATATATATAGTAATCATAGTTAATTGCCTGAACTGTTAGGAGAAAATATCCTTGAATTTTTTGGGTAGAAGGCAAAATATTGCATAAGCACGCTCTTATAACCTAAACTCCAGCATTCGAAGGTCTACGCCCTCATCGTCTGGAGCTGGAAATCAATCAGTGTTTAATGAAAAAATTCATTTTACAGATTTTAAAAAACATAGCTACGATATGCCATTTATTAATAAAATAATTCCGTCCTAATCGAATCTCATCGGTCGTTTTTTTATTCGTCGACTATGTCCCTTCACTGTTGCTTAAGAACAATTTCAGCAACAATATCGCCGACTTTGTAAGTAGTTATATATTTTTTTCCTCCTAATTGTTTATTGTTGCTATTTTTCAAAAATTGTTTCCAGCTCTAGACGATGAGGGCATAGACCTTCGAAAGCTCGGGTTTAAGTTATAAGAGTGTGCTTATGCAATACTTTGTCTTCTACCCAATGAAATTCAAAGATATATATATATATATATATATATATATATAATTACCTCGAATTACTTTTTTGGAGGTAGAGCGCTTATTTTACTAATACATGCCAAACTTTTTCGAATGCGTGGGTCACATCCAGGAATAGCTCTCTGCAGACAAATACACCCATATTTAGTAAATTAATAGTCAGGTAATAATTGTTAGATAACTTCAAAACCGGACCAGATATAATCCTCGTTCTAGTCTGTGTGAGTGTCTCTGGTGAGACTGCTCCTGTCGCAGTCACTAATTTTTCAGCGACTTAAGGTTTATCCAGCGGAAATTTAATAGCATTCCCTTACCACTCCTCTGTAACAATTATCCCTTTAAAAGGGTGGTTAGGAAGACTGGTACAGACAGGACACAGCCGCAAGCCGCAAATTGGGGCGGCAGAGGCTCCTTTAGCTGGATATCATCTTCCGCTTCTGAAAGCTGATGTGTTTTAAAAATGTTATGTAAAGGTCATGCGGAATCAATTGCTAATTGGAGATGACATCCTTCGAAGGCCAAGAAGTATTTTGTATGTATTTTAAGTTTTTCTGCTCAACAGAGTTTATAATTAATTGTTAGATGAAGCTTTACAAGTAATCCAGCCGCAGACCAGAAATTGAGAAAGACAAAGGTTAATAGAACTCACGTTCTCCCTAAAACACAACTACCTCTACGTAAAAGACTAGTTTATGCCAATCAGATCGCCGCAATTACCAGTAATGACCAACTTATACATGGAGTGGTTCAAGGTAATCCCCAGTAAAAACCTCAAATGTTAAGCCGGCGTCGATATGTGAATGACACCTTCATAATCTGGAATCATGGAGAAGAGAAAATACAAGCCGTGTTTGAACACCTAAGCAATTTAAGACCATCGATAAGGTTTACAAGGGAAGTAGGGAATAATAACAGCCTCCCATTCTTGGACGTCGTGGTAGCAAGAGACAACTCCAGAATAGACACCACTATGTACTATACGTATAACACATACGACAATACCTAAATTTCTTTTCCAGCCATCCAAGAACTACGAATAAAAGCGGCAATTAGAACACTCATCGGCCGTTCAAAGAACACCGGTAGCAGGCAAACAACCTCAAGAAAGAAATCAACCGCATAAAAAAGATGGCTATCCAACTCGATGAAGTTTTGAAGTAAAAGAACACAAACAATACCAGAAACACGTGGAATGAACTCTAGCATACACTTAATCTACCATTATGTTGAAGGACAGGTGATGAAGTCAGAAGAATAGGAAGACGATACCAAATCAAAACACGATTTTCAAAGAACACCGCAGTATCCTCATAAAGACAAAACCTATGAACAAAAACCAGAGCACCAAGGATTATGTATACCATGTGAATGTGGAGAAATATACATAAGAGAAACAAAAAGGCTGCCTCCATTAAGGGTAAAAGGATATAAAATATTGCAGAGAGCAACACAATGAGGTCGGAGGAAATTCAAGGAAGCGGCCTCCATACCAATGAATCAAAATGTTTACAGTAATTCAATTGTGGGAATGAAAACAGTTCGGCAGCCGATCCTAGAGGAAACAAAAAAACTGCAACTCAACCAACCGGAAGAACATTCTATATCAATAGGAAGGTGGTGCATAAAAAGCCTTATAGGCAATACGGATGTTTGTGGAACAACATTTCAATACTTTGCATCTCCTCGATGACGCTTTTTTTGGCTTACTAACTACAGACAGTTGGAAAATCTGATCGACAAGATATTTATCCTCTTTGTAACAGTTGTGGTAATTTGATGTTGAGGTTCCGCTTTCAACACTACAATATTCAAAAATAGGAGAAGACTCTTCTCACTGTGCACAGCGAACAGTTGAAGCCCAAAGGCGTTATCTACCTATTTTCTGTTCAAAGTGATTCTGCTATGTTATAAGTGATCTCAATACGTTTATTAATACATCTTAGATTCAATATTCCCCATTATCTTTGCTTTACATTTTTGCTTCTAACGCCAAATGTAATGACGCAATGTTCCGAAAATGAGACGTTAGGTTCTTTCGATGTTATATCATTGGCCTTTCCTATAACTAAGAGAATATAGCTTTGTAGGTTACAAAAATCAAACTAGTGGTATCGGAGCGTCTAGCAAAGGATGGAAAACACGCTTAAGGGTCGTTTTTTGACATTAATTATTTCTAAGAGAGGACAACTTGTCCCTAATACATTCTTCCATGAACAGCATTGCGTGGAAAGTACTGAGCTAGCCTACTTGACACCATTTCTAGTTCCTGCAAGCTTATAAGAAAAGCAAGCTGGTTCTGATCCAACGGAGAAGATGACAGCAGCGTTTCTGTTGCGGTCATCAGCTCCTTCCTTTTCGAAATTACATTCTTTGGAAGAGTTTTAATAGTGGTTTAAATGATAGTTATATTTGATTGTTGGGCAGCTAAACTAACTCATTCATCAAGCTGGCAATTTTATATCTACAAATCACATAACATAAGACGAAACAAAGACCAAATAAAATCTTTTGTTTTACTAAGTATAATGGCGACGATGTAGCGTTGATCATAAAAGCATAGTGCATAATTATCTCCCATAAACGACCAAGTTGAAATTAACAAACTGATTTACAATGTGCTTGCCATCATATCAATAGGTCGTAAAGACGTCGGACTAAACGGTTGTAGAAAGCGATACACGCTGAGGCTTTGTACTAATGTTTTATCTGTGCAATTTTTGTCAAATAGCATACACAAGTACATACATTTGTATGTTCATAGTTCTAATATGAATAACTACAATAATATAACTTCTTTTTATATACCCGTGCGGCCCAGTAGGCAGAAACCTATATACTACCATCGCGGTAGAAGAGAGCAAGGTCGCCGACCGCCCATCGGTGCGAAAGGGTACCGAGACTGTCCGTTATAGAAGTGTCGTTGCTCAGTCGGAAAGAAGTTTATTTGAACAGCTTGGATGCCATCTTTGTTTATAAAACAAATGTTGGATGTTGGAATATCGATATGTTTGAACAGTCAGCTCACACCATTTAATGACGAATTTTGTCCAGACTTTTATTGCATAAGTATTCCAGAACGATTTGTAACAATTTACACGGCTGGCTAAAACTCAGTACCCGTAAGATGAAG